AAACTTTAGTCTGAAGTTTTAAGCCGAGTTTTACTCAGACTAAAGCTGGGAGCTCCTCCATAACGAGGAGGTCTAAAATGAAGAGACATAAACCTCATTGATGTCTATCAGAAATCTTGCTCCACCTGCAACTCTGCTTCCCAGTCTGGACTCTCGTTTCTCAGCATTTTGGAGAAGTAATTAATTGGGCAAAATTGAAATAAATAAATAAAATAAATCCCACTTTGTTCCATCCAAAGTGGGATGAATGGCGCCTCTCAGGATCGGATCAGGTTTCTTCAGAAATGTTGACCAATAAACAAAGTAGCTCAATTTGTTTTCTGGACCCGACCTGCACAGCCAAAGGTGGAATGACAGCCTGGTGCTGGTCACGATGCCACAGGTTAGATCAGAAAGGTTTCATTCTCTTTAATGTAGTGAAACTCATAGAGCTGACAGTCAATGAAGCAACACTGACCTGTGAAGAACAGAAAAGACATTAAGAGAGTGATTTTGTAATCTGAAGACTATGATTTAGGTGTAAGAATTTGATCAAAATTGTAAAGCGTATCTGTAATGTTTAGTCAGAACCACTCACCCAACAGAATGAGAAGGAAATAAATCAGCTTCATATCTGCGGGGTCAAGGGTGAACAGTTTGCGTTTTAGTTTTGCTTTCAAAGAGCCATGTCTGTTGGGGAAAAAGTAGATTATTTAGACACATTCTGTAAAAGTAAAATCAATTGTAGGACTACAAGAACATCTACCAGTAATAAAGATTACATTCTAGACAATTAAATTATATCATTCATTCTGTAAAAGTTGCTGTTTTTGAGTTTTCAGCCATTCAACTATTTTATCTTGAGCCTTAACTCTTTAAAAAGTTCACCAGCCAGCCAGTTGGTTCCAGAGTGGACTTTATGTTTATTTTTCTCTTACAGTATAGAGGTAACATGCTAAAAAAAAAAGGGAAAAAAAAAGAAGAAAAAACATTTAAATGGTCCTAAAAACTGATTCCACTGCAAGTTAAAAAGCCAATACATTCAACAATAGAACAGGAATATGATCAAATGGAGAGCAGAGAAGAGACTTACATCTGTTTAGAGGAACGATTCTGTACCAGACCGGTCTGGGAGAAATGTTGACGCCTGATAGGAACAGACGGCATTTGATGGCAAAGAGACAATTTGAATATACTTGTCACTCAGGCCTGTTGCTCAGTTACAAAAATAAAACAACTCTGTGACAGACAGACATCTACCACAAAAAGTAACTTCAGTCTTTGCGTTATAGTCAGCAATGCCAATAATTCACTTAAAGACTTTTTTAAAAACCAGCAAAAGGTAAATATTTGTATAAACATGAAAGACACTCCAGAAACGCTACTTAAGGACCCCAGAGAGATGAGATGACGAATGATGAGTGAAGAATGAAGAAATCTTCAAAGATCTTGCTCTCTACAATGTTGTAAAAACAAATTTCTTTTAACTGTAAGCTCATGCTACTGTAAAAATTATTTTCTTTTCAAGATTCCCCACACATTTCAGAAGAAGAAATTAATGTAAAATACACCATCTGTAGTTTATCTTTGGCTACCTCAATTGTAAATATCAAAAAATGTTTTATCGGATGGTTCGTAAACAAAAAGGGGATTGTTTTCTTTTCATTTACTCCTGCTGGTGTGTCCTAAACCTTTAAGCAAAAAATAAATAAATAAATCTGAAATGTAACAATAACATATTATCTAAAGTGGTTCTCATTAACTGGCATCTTCTGGAAAATCTTCCCTTAGATTTAGCTCTCATGGGTCTCATTAGCATCAGTTTTACATGCAGCAACTTGCTTTTGCCAAAAGCTTGGATAAAAACCTCTTTCAAGTGACTGATGATGGTTTAACAGAAGCATTGTTCTTTTGTAGACAAGACAAAGCTTCAATAAATTTGAACTCTGAGCTTGAATTTATTAAGTGGTGAATGCTTATTATGATTGCTAACTGGTTTGCATGAGCACATCATGTTTAATATCTTAGAGCTTGGCCATAATACATAATGTTCAGGGTGTCGTTTATGCCTTCCTTTGCTGCCCTCAAGTGGTCAAAATTCACCTAATGTTGGTTTAAGAAACCTCTAAAATACCTCTAACAAGACCGATGACATTGAACTACAACAAAATAATACAGCTCATAAAAACTGTGTGTGAGGATCTCATTGCATGGTGGGGAAACGCTGTTTTGCACAGCAGGGAAATAGTTTAGTCTTAGCTGAAAAGCTCACAGCAGTAATTAGCTCTCTCACCAATGAAGTGACAACCATATTTTTTCCATCATGAGGAGCTGACAGATGTAAAGAAACATGAGTGACGACATTTGATAGCGGCATCCTTTGAACTGTCAATCATGACGGAAGATTTTGCCTCATCCTGTCAAACTGAACCTGCCAAAACTAGAGATGAGAGAGACGGCTGAGGAGCAGGGTGTTATGGATTCCAGATTATGACACAGTTATAAAACTTTCATCAGGGTCACAAGGACAAACTATCTCTTAAGATGAGCTCTCAGCATCAGCCACCAAGATTCTTCTTTTTTTTTATCCACTTCATGTAATTATCCATAGTGCTCTGTTTGCTATTTTTAACCCTCCTGTTGCTCAGAGAAATATTCTATTTGCAGCCTAGAGACTTTACTTATTCACCCTCTAGCATTCATGACCCTCCTCGCCTCCAGCCAGACACAATATTCAGAAGGGCTTCTGCTCAGGATTCCCTCTCATACCTACACATTTCCATTTACTCCCTTCCATTTCCAACCATCGAATTATGGAATCCCCCAAAAGCTCAAATCTCTTGCATTATTTATTGCAACTGTACATTTTCATTGAACAACTTATAACACACCCTACTATACTGCTTCCCTTTTATGAGATCTGATCTCAGTTGAGGCCTGTTGACTCTAATGAAACATGACCGTTTATCACCCCTGATTAACCAGATTAACTCTCTGCAAATGCCTTCTGCTAGATATTTAGTTTTCATATTACTGCTGAACATTTCCATGCAGCAAGCTATGAATAGAACTTTACTTAGTTTAATAATTTCATAATCTGCTTTTTGGAAAATTTTTCTGTTTACAGTGAGAAGTTTCATAATGACCAAGTATTAGTTCTTGTCTTGTAGAGGAATGTTTACAGCTGCTTTTACAACAATAAAGTAACTCTTATGTATTAAATAACACCTGGTTTTCTAAAAGGTAATGCAGTTTTATGAATTACTTCTACTAGCAGGAAGGAACTCTGAGTTGTTTTAATGGAATTCCATTATTATTTCTCCAACTTATGCTAGCAAATGATTATTTGTGGATTCATTTTTGTATTTGAAAGCTGTTTATACAAACCCAGTAGGACAATAAAGTCAAAGGAAGTCAGAAAAGCAGAGGAAAAGACTGTTGGCAGCAAAAACAAAACCAATTTGGTCAAAATATAAAGGGAACATTAAAATCTGTCAAATTAGTGAGTGGTATTAAGATGAAAGATGTTGGATGAAATACTAAATATAAACAGAGGAAAATTGGTGAGCCTAGCAATAAATAAAGGCCCAGATATCACCAATAAAAAGACCGTTGCCATGGCAAAGAAAAAGTCCAATTTATTTTTGGTCATAAGAAAAGACTTGAACCCACAAAGCGCACTCAGTATGTGATATATAAATTACTATAATGTGCCATAAAGAAGCAAACTTTAAAGAGCAGAGTTACTGCAATCTTACTAAGTAGCAATAATAGGTGTCTGACTGTGGCCACAATTATTGTCGACTTACTTTTAGTAATATGACATATACTCAGCTTTTATGGCATGCATTTTATTCAGCAAAATCCATTTCTTTAAGGAGAATGAATGTATTATATCATATCCAATATTAAAATAAAAATTAGCATACATTTATTCAGCCCACACTTCATGTAATAATGCTGCTCAGGTGCTGATTTAGAATCTCCATTATTAACCACAATTTTGTTATCATGCTCTCATTACACTGGAATATGATTGTTTTCTTAGAACCTTATATCTCTTCTAATGGCAAACCATTCAGAGAAGTCAAGAACTGAAAGGTCAAATTATACTATGCAAAAAACAATTTAAATGCAAATGCACTAATGGAACAGGTGACATATACAAGATGTAACAACAGTAAATAAAACACATTTTACTGCACACTGCTATCGCAAGAGAAAGAAACTCTTGTTTATGTGACTTTATGAGGTAATTGTTCACATGCTGTGGGAATAATCATTTCATCTTGAATATGGACAATAACTTGTTAGTTTGCCTGGATAACAGACTGGACTAGACACAACACTGAAGCTGTACTCAGGAAGAGAAAACTGTACTTAAGGAGGAAGCTTAGATTCCTCAGTTTCAAGCAAGGTGCTGTGAAGTGCAATGTCCTCTGTCATCATCTGTTGGGGTAGCAGCATCAAAGGCAGTGACTTAAAAGGGATGAACAAAATGAGGAAGAAGGCCGGCCATAAGTCATACATAAAACATCATTGTTGTATTATTTCTGAATTGACAGGCATGAAACTTCTTATTTTTAAAGTTTGGCAATTGCTGTCTGGACAGAACTGCAAACAAATATCACATAAAAATACAACGTTCTCATCATTTCTGGTTGTTTGGTTTCTTCTTCATTTGTTCTATGGTATTTTGTTGTACTGCATCCTTACATGTCTTTTCTATTAAAATTATTGATGCAGTCTTTTTGACATCAAATACATAATTTAGTTCCTGAGAAGAGTTGTGGACAAAGTTCACAAATGTTGTCAGTCAGAATTTTAACAGGGTTTAATCATCACTTAGGAAAGAAGAGGTAAATACTGGATTTCTACCTGCCCAACAAATGCCTTTCAGACTTACAAAACAAACTATTACATTGGTCACGATTGTTTATCCTACGAATTACTATGATAAAATATCAATCTTTAAACCAAAATTTCAATATACCAAAACAAACAGAAGAAACACACAAGGTCTTAGTAATTTTATTTGACAAGAGTGTCAAAATATATTACATTTACATAGACAGTATTTGAAGAGAGTAAATTGAAAACAATCAAAGCATTTACAAAGTATACAATTTCCTCCAAAGAAATTTCTAGTTCATATAGTCCTGAACTAGAAGGCTACAATCATTTTTTTAAGAAAAGAAAAAGTCATAAAATAAATATCTATACCATAAACCAACAGATGGTGCAGTTAAATACAGCACCCTGGGGATTCTGTCAATAATTGTTCTTTTTTATATGACAGGTTTGTTTAAAACTGATTAAACAGAAAAGCCAATTCAAATTTCAAACTACCCTAACTCAAAAAACATGCAGCAGTGAATGATCAATTTATATTGGAGCTAGAAACTTAAAAAGAAACTTGTTAGCTTGTCCATTTTAGCTTTTACCTTGAACTAATAAATACCTTTTATATGCTGTTCATTCTACCCTTAACAAGACTTTCTGCTAATCCTCATATTAAACATAGCAGTGACAATAACGTTTGCAGACCTTTTCTTTGTGAAAAGTCTGCACTCACACTTGAGTTGTAGAAAAGTTCCCTAATGTGTAAAAAATGTCTCAGCGATACCACAAATCTTATTATTATAATCACCCTCAAACAGAGTTTGTTTCTCTTCCCTTTGTGTACTAAACTATAAAAAAAAATAATCTGAGTACAAAACCGTAATAAAAAGCTGACAGAAAACTAGTCCCTTAAACGGACTGTTATATTCATTTAATTTCCAATCATTCCATATTCAAGAGCATTTCACATTCATAATTTACTTGCACTAATCAAGTGTGTTTACACTCCAGGTTTCTCCTTCTCCTCAGAAAGCAGTTTTTCCTTAGCAGAGTCCTGAGGCGCTCTGTGTGTAGATTTCTGCATTTCTCTACTTTTGACCCAGGTGTAAGCTGAAGAGCCGCCAAGAACCAACATGTTACTGGTCCACCAAAGCAAGCTCTTACTGGATGAGTTATACACCACTGCTATAACAGTCTGTGCACAAGCCTTTGCTGTTCCTGAGACGTTATGAGTGAGAGGGCTGGTAAATTTGATCTGGAGGCCTGTGACGTAGCCAATGGCAAAACCAAACACTCCTCCTAGCGTCATCATCCCCCAAAAGCGGAGATTGGTCAGTCCACTAAAGCTGGCCACTTTTCCCACTTCCCCAAACACAAGGATGAGAGGAAGGAAGAGGACACACGCATTGATGTTGTTGTAAAAGGACAGTTTCCAGATGCTTCCATTGACAGCAGGCATCACCTTCTTGGTGTAAATGGCATTGAGAGACACAAAGACACTCGCCAGCACCCCAAAAAACACACCTGACCAAGACAGGGACCCAGCCAGGCCTTCCTGGTCCACACCCAGCCAGAATCCACCTGAAATGCAAAAGCATAAAGTACTGAGAAATCACAACTGACTTTAAGTTAAACATTTATGCCAAAATATTTATCTTAAAGTCTGAAACTCAATGTTTTAATTAATAGTAGCATTTTATCATAAGTTTTCGCTGTAGGTGCACAACTGTTCTTCATTGCATATTATTAGTCAGTCACTTGAACTCAAAAATGATGCAAAATTAAACACATAAAAAATATGATTGGAAAGTAAGGATAGTCTATGAAATAGTGATTTCTGAATACCTCCTGGCTCAAAACTAAATGTTTGGATTTTTTTTTTTAATTATATGGACTCGTTTTAGGATTTATTTTAAGTATGAAAACAGGCCAATTGCATTATTTTGATTATTTGTCATTTTCAGCAGGTGAATATTGAAATATCTTTTTATTTGGAATTTGGAAGAAAGCAGTCAGGACTAATTCATAAAATAATCACATTTTCATCAAACACAAAGCCTGAAGATTTCGTAGTGGTCTCTTAATTCCTGTCTTGTTATAAGAAAAAAAAAATAGCAGCGGAACAAGAATTTTTTCATCAATATTACGTAACACTGAAACAAGCTCCAATATCTTGCTCGAAAGTTAAGCTTTATTTTATTTCAAGTGTACTAATTTGCAGTAGAAACCAAATAAAAAATCCTTGGTAAGATTTTGTGTGCTGGTAGTGTAGTCATATTGGCACTTAAAATAACTGCATATAATCAGAATTATTTTCGTTTTTTGTCCATATGTCCATGTCCTGTGATCTGGTTCAGTAACCAATCAGAAGGGTACCTTCCACAAGCACCACTAGTAACTTCATAAGCAGTTATAGAAAATGGATGAATCCATCTGTTATGGCAACAGATCCAATATCTGTGTCATTCCTTAGACATTGAGAGTAAAGGACGCGTGAAACTATGAATTTTAGCAAAAAATATTTATCTATAAAAATTATACAAATACAAAAATGACAGCTACAGTATGATAAAATAAAACACACAAATCATCAAACAAATTAGTTAAATATTTTCTATTTATGGCTCTAACACCATCTTAGGAAATATGTTTTTTTTTCTTATAGGATTTTACGTGGTTAAAAAAATAAAACAAAAAAACGGTACTCAACATTTGTTCTTCTGTTAGTGTATTTTGCATGGTAATAGCAACAGGAATACACAAATATCAAAACATTATCAGATGAGACTAACTGTAACCAGTGTAAGATGCAGTTAAATAATAATCAGCAGAAATCAAGTGGACCTACCAAGAATGATCCCACAGCAGATTAGAGCTTGAAAAGACGTGGTTTGCTTCAGGATAATAAATGATAACAGCACGTTAAAAACGGTGCTCAGGGATCGTCCGATTGTGTAAAAAGCCACTCCGACGTATTTTAAGCACAAGTTGTTGAAGGTGATCATTCCGATGAAGACAATGGACAGCGGCAGGACTTCACGCGACGTTTTCACGTCGAATCTGACCGACGGGAAGTCGACGAGTCCGGGACACAGAGTGGCGAAAAGCTGCATGAGCCAGCACAGACCCACGGTCACCACACACTGGTAGAACGTGACAAACAGCGGCGCATCCAACTCTCGGTTGTCCAGCAGGTAGTTATTGAGGAAAACCATTGTTATTGAAACAAACCAGTAAAGTGCCACCACACATGCTATCTTGAGAGCTCGAAGAATGAAAGACTCTTCGTGCTCATCCTGGTTCATCGTTTCCGAGCCGGACAGAGCCATCCTCAAAATGCTGGAGCGCTTCAGCTGCGTCCTGTTCATGATTGGAGACAAAACAACACCAGCTGCTGTCAAAAATGCGACATTTACCGAGCTAAAGTGAACCTACAGACAGACCAGGATGGAAACATGAGAGTTGTATCTTGCCACCCGGCATCAACAATCTAACTTCCGGTCACAGACTTTTCAACATAAAAGTGCAAGCAAATGTGTATGTTTATATATTAAAGTGTTTAATTTCTTTCCAAGCGTTTAACTCTTTTCATATTTAATTCCCAGTTAACAGTAAAACAGATAAATAAATAAAATAGACAAAGATATAATGATTAATATACTTTACTAAATACAGCACAAATGAAAGCTTTACAAAGTCGGTACCAAAAGTCTTCATCACATATCATTAATAAATATCATGCTACTTAAAATAATTTTTTAGGCGTCAGCAAACTTTCCACAATATTTACACGTAACGTCGCCCTCGTCAAACTGTCTGAACCTGATCAGTCAGTAACCTCAACAATTACTTCCTGATGTTTTTATATTTTATGTTGTTTTTTAAAGTGTGTCACAGATGAATTATATCATATGCGCCAGTTCAACAAATCTTCTTTACCTATTTCCCAAGAAATGAAAAGTCTCTATTTGTAGTTATAGTTTTTCAAACACGAGTAAAACGAAACAATAACTAAAATGAAGAGGAAAAAATAGAACATGTATCCTTGTATCAGTAACATCAAAATGGTTTCACAAACTGCTTTCATACCTGTTTCAACTATATGACCGATTTACCCGGCGTTACAGTCCCTGGACGTGTGAGCTGTAGTGGTAGCTGTGTTTCTTGAAAAACCTCATTCTTGTGGTTCTATACTATAAACGTTGGATGACAAAACGGCGGCGCTGCAGCAAAAGGAGAGCTGCTCATGATCGAAGACGGCAGTGTCACTGCGCATGTGCGAATGACTTACAGATGTGGAAGGATCAGTAAAGTGAGTTTTTCGGTTGGTGTTGGAATCTTAGTTTTAACTCAATTATAAATTTCAAAATATTCAAACTTTGTACATTATATTTGAATTTTAATTATATTTTAGAACAATTTTGTAATATACATGCGTTCATCCATTGTTTACATCCACTGTAGATATAAACGGGTAACTTATTGCAGTAGCCTATTTGTAAAATGTGCATAGTGCCTTTTGCATGTGTGTTTTTAGTGACGCACTATTCTATACTATTCTTACTGATCTTATCCACAACTGATTTATTAAACACCACATTTTGAGCAATTTGAGGCGTGTTAATTTCTGCTTGTCAAAAGCAATATGACATGCATATTCTCTCTCACTCTCTGCCTCTCTCCCTGTTTGGCTCTCTGGTTCTCAAGCTCTCGTTCACTCTGTATGCAGTCACAAGTATCAGCCAGTAGGTGGCAGCAAATTGTCATCAATATTTTTTTAAAATCATGATTGTTTACAAGGATATTTTGCCGAGCCTTTAAGAGCTGTCTGGAATTGATTTTTAAGATTAGTTTGCTCTGTATTCATTCGAGCCATTTAACAAAGGCATCGCAGTACTTATCTGTAATGAATGATCATGTGAATTAGCACATAAACAAACATAGTTTTTAATTTAAAATAAGTTACTCTTTGCACTTGTCTGACAGCAACAACCTTCATAATAACATTTAGAGAAGTTTCTATGTGAATCTTAGGTTCTCTATTTTGATGTTTGAACAGAAGGCAGAGAGGATTATCTTTCTGCTGAAAGACTAGAGGTTCAGTCTCCAACTCTCCACCTATCAAACGTATTTGGTCAAGACAACTTGCACTCTTTTACAAAAATAAAACATTTTTAGCCATATAAAATAATTATTATACATATTTTATTCTTAGAGAAAATATCTCGAATGCAAGTCACACCAGATGTTGACTACAACTCATGTTATCATTATGCTTATGGATTACTTTATGCACTTACAGAAATGTATTACAATCTTTGAAAAAAGCCTTTAATAAGAATGACAGTGAAAGAAAGCGATAGACAGGCAGACAAATGGATGGACAGACAGACAGATAAATGCTTTATTTATTTCACTGACCAAACCTTATGTCAAACTTCATTCCTTCCAGCTGTCACTGATCTATTCCACTGTTCCTAGCTCATTCACTTGCTGGAAAATTGTTGAGAGTTGTTTTTGTTTTTTCTAGTTTCATACCTTCTGCTACAATGCACAACAAATAACTTGGTTGATGGACTGATATTTGCTGCTGAGCCAGTAAGCTATACTTATGGACCTGGAGATGCGCTCAGCAAGGGAAAGGCACCATGACTCTCAAAGACATGGTGTCTGGGGTGGTCTTTTATATTTCAGCATATACAACACTTACATCAGTGGGTGTTCAACCCTTCACTGTTCACCTTTGTTCTAGGGTTTTAGAAGGTGAGAGAACCTCTTTTCTGTTGTCAATCTCAAAAGCCAGCCATGTGCCTTACTGACCTGGGCCAGATGGTGTGAAGTCAACTTTTTCTGACATTGACAGAAGATAAGAAATATGTTGACTTCTCAGCAATAAAGGTGAGCAGAAACTGTATGTTGATTGGAGTAGGGAAAAAAAAAACTTAGCCGGGAAAGACTGTAGATTTGAAACTAGCAGTCAGACTTCAGAAAACCCTTTAATCTCTTCTGGTTTGTTTAAGCTGTAAAACGTCCTTCCTGAATCAGTATATTTATGCTACAACCGGTGCTGTCAACTCCCTGCACGCTACCCATTTTTCTTTGGTCCCTTAACCATCCCAGAATTTGCCTATGTTCATAGTTGTTCTCATCACTCTTTAATGCTGAGAAACATGTTCAGGAAGTTGGAGATATATGCACCACTCCGTAGCAATGTGGAGTTAGTACATGGAGAGGTGGAATTGTAGCTTAGATATCAAAGTCAAACTGTATCCTTCAGTGAACATCTACATGTAAGCACTAGTTGTCAGAAGAAGCAGTGCAAGAAAGAATCATTGTTGCTCGATCAGTTTTAGCTTATTTAGTAATTCCTGAGTGCTTGTTCTGTTAAAAGGCAAATTTGACTTTTTGACTTTGTATCATGTTATAATATCATGGATAACTCCGACCCACACGGCTCTACTAGACTAGTGGTAGCAGCAGTTAGCAAACATCTGGTAAAACTAAAATATTACTCCTTTAAAGAGTTTGGAATATAAATCATCTGTAAATCCTTCAACCTGCATGGATTTATAACAAACAAGACAGAATGGTAGTTGCTACAACGCTTCAAAAAATCACCGTTATTATCTGTAAGGTGTGTGTTAAAGAAAAGTTGTATACACTTTAAAGTGCAGAGTTAATGTGTGTGTGTGTGAATGCAGTTTGTAATGGAAAGTCCTAGCAAAGCCATAAACAACCGGTCTATAAAGGCATCTCCTTTTGCATATAAGTTTATGTGGAGGCCAGTGGGATCATGAGGATCTCCTCTGAGTGCATCTAAAGCATCTGAAAGGTCCTTAATTGGAGGAACACTTCTATAGTCAAGCTCATAAAACAACCAAGCCTTTTAAGACTTTTAGAGTCCAGTCAGGATGCCATCTTCTTTAATATATAAGACTATAAAATATGAATGAGTTATCTACCTCCAAATTAAAGCAGAACATTTTAACTTTGCTACATAAAATGCACCTATAGAATCACTTAAAATGTTCTATTTTTCCTTGTCTGACGGACATGGTTGCTCAGTAGGTTACAGAATGCAAACTTTTGTCCTCGGAGACCAAGGTGACTCATGTGGCTCATCGTTCCTAGGGGAACCGCAGAGAAAATGTGGAGCAGCATTATGACAGTCGTACTGCCATTTCAGATGAGCCAGCTTCCCTTGAGTCCCAGAGCACACCAAGCACTGGTGAAACTCCCCACATAGGTCATTATTTAAATACTGTTGTTCTAAACAAAGACTGATATTTGATGCATTATTTATGTAGAATATAATCTCAACCCTAATTTTAATATTTGAACCCAGTCCTTAAAAGTGTTGTCTTTCATTCTGGAACTACAGACCTTGTTCTTGTCTTTTCGTCACTTGGCATCTGCTTTATGGTTTACCTTCTTGCATTTGTGGAATTTCTGAGTCATTTTCCATCTTTTTAATGTACTTTACTGGTTCAGTTCTACTGTCTGATTCAACCCAAATTTAAATGTCAATCTACCAGATCATCACACATATTGATCCTTTTTGCTAAGTGTTATGAGTTTACACTATGAATGTGAATATAATATACTAGGGGACAGCATTGGCTGAGCTAATGCTGCCAATAACAACACTCTCCTCCTGCTATTGACTTTTTACTTTTTTGTATTATTTTTTTGTGCATCTGCTCTACCTTCTCAAACTCCCAGTTGGTTGTACAGCAGATGGCAACTCGTACTTAGCCAGGTTCTGGTTCTGTTGGGCATTTCTTCCTGTAAAAGGGGAGGTTTTCCTCCCATCTATCATGCACCTTTAGCATGAGAAACTGCTGAAAATTCAATGACACAATGCATATGATTGTCTACTGTTGTTACATGCTCATCCAGGAGGAGTAAATGCTGCAATCACTAACTCAATGCTGGGTTTCCTTTAATAGATAACTTTGTAAACTGACTTGAATAATGAACCAAACTTAATCCACTGTTTAATAAGTTGGGTTAACTGGACTTCGTGTGTGATTGATTTTATTTATTTATTTATTTTTTTTATTTATAAAGTGCCTCGAGATGGCATTTGTTGTGAATTGGTGATACATAAATGAGTTAAATTGCAATTGTGAATTACTTATTCTTATATTTGGAATGCATAGGTGCTACTTTGACTGTTGCTTCAATTCCAGTAAAGCTTTGCAGCTCAGTAAAAAAATGAGAAAAACAAAATGGCAGCACTCTGTAGAACGCCAGTGGGCTGGAAAAATCTTCTCCAGTGTTAAAAACTTTGAGGTGTCTCCTTAGCCTCTAAAAGTCCCTGAAACCAATCTGATGGGATCTGATGGCATCTGTTGGAAAGAAGCCCAGTCTACAAAGACAATCTAAAGGGATCAAATGATTTAATGCTAACCTCCCCTTAGAACGTCTAGGAACCCAAGGATTCCTAGACGTTCTGCTTTAACCCTCTGAATAGTTCTTTCCCTCTTCTTTTCTAGCGAGAAATTTTAGGTTGTTTGTGGGTTCTCATAGTGTTATTGCTGTGTATATATTGCTCAAAGCAACAAGCCAAGTTGCATTGTTTAGCCTAAACTAATTATTTCTAGTGGCTTGGGTAAAACTATTTTAGTCTCAAGAGGAGTGAGCACAACAAGAAACAAACATGCAACTGTTTGACAAAGGTCAACAGCAGACTTGTGCATATAGAGACCCCGTGTTTTCAACATTGCTAATGAAGCCTAAGTGTTTATGTGCTGCACATTTTTGTTTCCGCTCCCATGCTCTGCTGCGCAGGGTCTTGGTTAATGATCACTTTTGTTTGAAACTATTTTCACACCAGGCTAGAATCAGCTGTTGAATGAGCGACTGGAGCAAGATCAATATCAATATGCTTTATGATGACAAATTATTTCAGTCTTGTCTTTGATTTCTGCACAGGCTCTTATTTATTTTTCTTTTTTTATCATTTTTTATTTTTATGTTTTCTTTTCCACATCTTTCCAAACGTAATGATGATGAGTCTTTATTGCAGGCCTAATTTAACCACTTTTAAGAATAATGTCAGTCACTTAACATTTATCTCCTGCATGTTTTTGTTAGGTAATTCAACCTCTTATACTGGACCTTTCTGGGGTAAGTGAACATTTCATGTCTCAGCCTAACTTGATTAAAATACTGTGAGATAGATTTTTCTTATTTAAACTTCTTTACACTTTTCCAATCTTTATTATTTTGTAA